GAGGAGAGAGAAGAAGAAGAAGAAGAAGAAGAGGAGGAGGAGAGGAGGAGGAGGGGAGGAGGAGGAGGGAGGACGAGGAGGAGGAGAGGAGGAGGAGGAGGATCGAGGAGGAGGAGGATCGAGGAGGAGGAGGAGGAGGAGGAGGGACGAGGAGGAGGAGGATCGAGGAGGAGGAGGAGCAGGAGGAGGAGGAGGAGGAGAAGAAAGAGGCAATAGCCACGGAAACAGGAGGAGGAGGGGGATATGAGCAGGAGAATTGGAGAAGGAGGAGGAGGGGGAGGAGGAGGAGGAGGAGGAGGAGGAGGAGGAGGAGGAGGAGGAGGAGGAGGATACGTTTCCCTCCAGGGAGGAAGAAGTACCCCGACCCCGCAATTGGCATTCTCTAAAGAGTCCTGGGCGCTTACAAAGTTTGCGTAGCCCTGCCCTGTTCGACTCTTTCTTTGGGTGCCACCTCCCACCCAGGCAGTGCAAGGGTGGTCATCACCAAGGGAGTTGCCGACTTTTCCAGGACTCCCAGCGACGCTCATGAACGTCCCGAGCCTGCTCTATCCCCACTTCTCCTCGACCCTCGATTTCCAGGAGGCGGTGGTGATCCCCGTAGTGGTGATCCTCTGATTGGCACTGCCCGATCCCCCCTGCCCATTTGCCCCGGCCACGGCGCTCCCACTCCATCGATAGGGCCCTGCTTGGGTTTTCGCTTTGCCGACCAGTCCGGTGCGGAGCGCCCCCAAGGGTCCGGCCGAGGGCCCGGCATTGTTCGTCGTTGCCGCCGCCGCCGCCGCCGTCGTCATCGTGGTCGTCGTCGTCGTCGTCGTCGTCGTCGTCGTCGTCGAAGCCGTCGTCGTCGTCGTCGTCGTCGTCGTCGTCGTCGTCGTCGAAATCGTCGTCGTCGTCGTTGTCGTCGTCGTCGTCGTCGTCGACGTCGTCGTCGTCATTCTCGTCATCCTCGTGCTCTTCCTCGCCCTCGTCGTCGTAGTAATCGTCCTCGTCGTTGTCCTCGTCTCCGTCCTTTCGACGTCCTCGTCCTCCCCGTCGACCCTGCTCCTCCTGCTCCTGCTCAGTGGCGCCGGCCGCGTCGGGAGCAAGCCCAAGGGGTGGTGGGCTCGAGGATCAGGGGAGGCGTGGGGGCGGGCAGGAAGGGGCGGAGGAGCAGCAACGGCAGGAGCGCGACGAGATGGGGGAGGAGGAGGAGGAGGAGGAGGAGGAGGAGGAGGAGGAGGAGGAGGAGGAGGAGGAAGAAGAGGAGGAGGAGGACGAGGAGGAGGAGGAGGAGGAGGAGGAGGAAGAGGAGGGGGAGGAGGAGGAGGAGCGGCAAGACGCAGGGAGGCGGCGGATAAGGGAGGGTGAGGATACTACTGAGTGGAGGGGGATCCGGGGATGATGGGGGGGGAGGAGGGGGGGAGGGAGGACCATGGTTGGGGATTAGGCGGAGGGAGGCGGGTGGGGCGGCGCGCTCCGCAGGTGCTCGCGAGCCTGAAGCCCGCGGTGACCTGGGACGCGGACGCAGCGGAGCACTTCGCCAACGTGTCGAGCAAGCGCCTCTACATCGCTATGCCCACGCTCAAGTTCGTAGAGGCCGCCCCAGCGGGCGCCAGAGCTCTGGAGCCCCTGCATTCTGGGCCGCCTCTTGGGAATCCTTCGGTCCTGCGCTCCTTGTCCTTTGGGGGACGTCACTTGACCACCTCACTTCGGATGCATCTCCTGGGAGGTCAAATGATTCATTGGCTTACGCCGCACCGCCGACCCCTTGGGGCGGCAGCAAGAGTGAAAGACAGAATTCGCGGAACGCGCGCGATCGCTGGGCAATCTTGGGGTTTCGGCCTGTCCTACGTAGCGTGTGGGGTTCAAGGGGGGGCCTTGTAGGGGATTGTTTTGAAGTTCTTCGTGGTCTTATGTGAGTTTCTTGGGGCTTCCACGGGGCCTATCCCAGGCCTCCTTTTCCACCTCCTGGATAGGCTCGGGGATCGTCAGCTGGGGTTGCGTCCGGCCAGAAGTTCGAGATTGGATCCAGCTGTGTCGACGAGGAGCTTCCTGAAGGCCCAGAGGGGGCGGAGAGCGCCCAAGAACTAGGAGTCTCATGCCTCGAGCCTCGATCCACCCCATGTTCCTTCCTTTGCGAAGGGTTGGCGCCTGCCATGGATGTCGATCGTCATCCCGGACTTTCGGCGGTGGTCCCCGGCACCGAAAACGGTTCCTGGAGGCTGAATTCGAGGAGATGCCTCGGGTGGTCGAAAGACCACGAACATCTGTGAGACATCGGCGGCGACGACGATTTGTTGTTCCCCCCTCTTCCTCCTCCTCTTCCTCCTCCTCGTCCTTCTCCTCTTCTTCTTCTCGATCGAGGTAGATGCCCGCGGCAGTTCATACATATAGACATGTGTATCGAAGACGCCTACGGCGAATCACCGCCGCCCCCTGCCCTTTCGGAAGCGCCGATGCGGCCGACTGCTGTGGCCAGAGGTCTGCCAAGTTATTGGGCCATATGTTCCCCGAATCGGTC